TTGCCTGAGCTGAGGTCAAACTTGGCATCCTCTTGCCTCAGCCTCCTGAGTAGCTGAGATTCTGGTGTGTGCCACCATGCCCAGCTTCAGTACATGTCACTGGGAAACCCGAGGAGCTTCAGAACAGAGGAAGCCCTGGGAGAGGGATTGGGTTAGACACTGCAAGAGCTCTGGTGGCTCACAGCAGAATGTGGAGGTGCAGGATTGTGGGGGGAGGGAGCTGTAAGAGCTGAAATCACAGGAACCAGTGGGAGATACGGACAGACCAGTGAAGGGAGACAGGATGTGAGCTAGAGGAGGGCCTGCCTGGAACTGTGGGACCAAGTACTCCAGGCGTCTTGCTTGGCAACGGGATCCAGCCAGGGGCCAGAGGGCAGTTTACATGTGTCCTGCAAGCACGCTTCCCCTGCGCCCCCTACAGGTGGATGGTGCCAGGGGACAGCCGCTCACCCACCTGCCAGGAGCAGCAGCTCCTTCTCTGGTCCTTCCCTTTGTGAGCCTCTGAAATGAAGAAGGCTCGTTTGAGCCAGGCCCAGTGGCGCACGCCTGTCATCCCACCACTTGGGAGGCTGAGGCAAGAGGACTGCTGTCAGCTCGAGGCCACCCTGAGCTACATAGTGAAACTCTCAAAAAAAAAAACAAAAAAACTTCTTTTTCTCACCCGTGTGTCACTCCTAGTACCCTGTGCCTGGTGACTAAGTTGTCCCACGCTGGCTTGCTGGCTGTAGAACCCATGAAGCGCATTTACTGCAGGATCGGCTTTGAGGAAAGCTCCCTGGGCTCCTGCAAATGGGCTCCCTGGGGGACACCTTGTTTCATACTTGTGGCCTTAATCTTTTTTCTCTTTGTTTCTTTCTCTTTTTGTAACACTGGGGATGGAACCCAGTGCCGTCACACTGAGCTACATCCCCAGCTCTATCGATGGATCCATCAGTTGATTGAGACCGAGTCCCACTAAGTCACTCAGTTGCCCAGGCTGGGCTACAACTTGTGATCCTCCTGCTTCAGCCTCTTTGAGTGCTGGGCTGACAGCTGTACACCACCACATCTGGCTGAATGCAGGGTCTTGAAATACAGTTTTCTTTTATTCATGGCTTTAAACAAACTGAAACATAATTCCCATGCACTATATTCATCATTTTAAGTTTATGATTCAGATGCATTTAGCAGATTAAAAGGTTTCAACAGTTTAAAAACTTTCATCATGCCCCCAAAGACAGTCTTCATCAAACAGCCACGCTGTAGTTGCTTTTCATCCCCCAGCTACCTAGTCACCATGAATTTGCCGGCAGTCCTCCTGACTCAGCCTCCTGAGCACTGGGCTGATAGGTGGTCACCATGCTCAGCTTTCGGTCCCTTCTGAGAGAAGGCTTCCAGGTTCCTTGTAGACAGAGGAGCAGCTCTGCAGCTACCCTCCTGGTTCCCCTCTGCGGCCCATCTCTCTGGTTCAGCAAGAGACTGTGCCTGGAAGAATCTCCCTTAGGGAGAATCCACAGCTGGGTGATGTTGCGTCCTCTTCTGCGTGCGTCTTTTCACTTGTTCATGCCTTTCCTCTCTTCACTCATGTTTGTTTTCTCCTTCTCTTCTATCTAGTAGAGGTCTTAACTGTTTGGGGGGCTGGCTTTGACACAGGCTCTTGCTATATAGACCACGCTGGCCTGAACTCATGCGTATCCCAGGCTGGCCTTGAACTTGCAGTCACCTTCCTGCCTCAGCCTCCCCAGTGCTAGGATGTCATATGTGCACCACCGCACCCTCCCTCCTTATTTTTTTTAATTACTCAAAGAAGGAAAGCTTTATTAAGATATAAAATGCAATATTAAGGTTTTGGTTCCCCCTGAAGACTGGTTTACACAGGAAAATGCTCAGATGTTAGGATCTTCAGTAATGGTCAGTAGTGTGTTAAAATTCTTGTTTACCCAGTTCAAGTGTGTATATTGATTGATCGATTTGCACACTAGGTGATATCCCCAGCCCTTTTAAAATATTTTGTTCAAGATGGGGTCTCTCTTAAGTCGCTAAGTTGCTCAGGCTGGGCTTGAACTTATGATCCTCCTGCCGCAGCCTCCTAGAGTGCTGGGATTACAGGTTTGCACTACCAGATCTGGCTTCTGGTATAGTTTTAAAATATTCTTGTATGGAGGTATAGTTTTCCTACAGTAAAATGCCAAGAGACTAGGATCATTAGGCTGAATAGCTCTGATGAACACGTTATCACCCCAGCCCTCCCAGCAGTCAGTGACCCGACTCTCCCACAGCTTTGCTCCGCCGGACATCTGGGACCTTCTCAGTTTAGGGCTATTTCTGGTCAGGCAGCTGTGGATGTTGGTACATGAGGTTTCTGTGGCGTGAGAGTCTGTGCTCTTCCTAAGAAGTAGCTGCCCTGCGTTGTACGTGCACTCCCTGTATCTGATCCAGTGTTGGGGTCTTTCTGCCCCGAGCCCCTCTACCTTTATCCCTCTGGAAGCACTTCTTCAGTTGTGCCTGTGCTCTCCCTCTGCCTACTGTGTCCAGTGTTTTTTGGGTTTTTTTTTGTTTGTTTGTTTGTTTGTTTGAGTCAGGGTCACACTTTGTAGTGCAGGCTGGCCTTGAACTGGCTTTGTGGTCCAGGCTGGCCTGGAACTCACAGTGATCCTCCTGCCTCAGCCTCCCGAGTGCCACCACACCTGGCACATCCAGTGTTTTTATGAACGTGCCCTCTCGTGTGCTCCTTCCCTGACGCTTCTGGGAGGCCTCACTGCTGTTTCGTGCCACTCCTACAGGTGTGGCTCAGAGCCCGCACTCCATCACTGTCCCCCTGTCCTGGCCAGGGTGCTGCCTGCTGCTGTGAAGTCTGTGGGCTGCTAAGTCTCTTCCCCAGCACAACTTCTGCAACCGGAGGAGCTCGGGTGGGAGTGGGCAGGGGAGCAGGAAACCTAATTATGCAAATTTTGATCTTAAAGCTTTATTCGCATGTTTCCTGGCAGGCTGTTCTTTAATCTCAAGAGCAAGATTGCTCAGAATTACCATATATTCTCGCTCTAATTGCATTAAAATTATAGTAGAGGTTGTTTTTGCTATAATCAAGAGTGATTTTGATTAATACTTAGGAAATCAAATGCCTCACGAGCGGAGGGAATGAGAACAACCTTCGCAGTGAGCCGTCCTTCCTTTCCTTCCCTCCCCTTCTTGCCAAAGGCCAGACAGGCAAACAGATTTGAAAGGGTTTCAAGGAATTTATTTGCTCTTGCGTGCACGTAGGGCTCATCATTCCTAAAGAAAATGCCTCAAAGCAGGAGACCGCTGGCTTCCTCTGTGTGGGTTAGGGAAGAGCTCTTTGTCAAAGGAGGACTCTGCTGGAGAGGACATAGTGACGCGCATGAGGAGGGCATAGCCCCAGATGAGTGGGGCGGAAGCGAGCGAGATGGCCAGCTGCCTCGGCCACCTCTCTGATGGCCCGGATGTGGGTGGTACGGCCAGTAGGTGCTGTGAGTAACAGCAGGGCCTGGCCGTGTCATGGTTTGTGCAGGCTGGCACTGAGAAGGTGGCGCTATGGGAGAACCTCCTTCGCCCTGAGCCGCATCCTCTTGCCCCCACTGGACTGTATCTCCAGCCTCCGCCTTAGTTAAAAGATAATTTTAGAACATTTACAGAGTTCCTGTTCCCCTTCACTTCCCCATTACTGGCATCTTGCATTAGTGTAGTGTCTATGTCGCCATCAATAATCCACCATTGATAGCTAGTTTTTTGGGTTATTTTGGGACAGGGTCTTGCTATGTTCAGGCTGGCCTTGAACTCACTGCAGTGCTCGGAAGACAGATGTGTCAACCTGTGCATCTGACTTAACAGATTTTGTTGCATCAGTCCATGTTTGCAGAACATGATCATTGCTTTCATTATGGGCAGTCAGTGCATGTGCAGAACACAGTTTTCTGCATCATCAGTGATTAGAGCCCACACTTTCCTGGGGTCTCCTTAGCTTTTCTCTGAGTTCCTGCTGGGCTCCAGGATCCCATGCCCTACCTGGGAACTTATTCACCGGACAGTTAGGGATCCCGACACCAGAGGTCCTTGTGCTTTCGGTGGCCTGCAGCTTCAAGAGTCCAAGGCCTTCCTGATAGCGATTGTATTTGTTTGGAGGTGGAGTCTCACTGTGTCATCCAGGCTGGCCTTTGAAAACAGATTTCCGGAGCCCAAACTCCAGCATCATCTGCTCTTGCTGGGATGTCTGCCCATTCGAGGTAACGCGTGGGTGCTGTCTGCAGGGAGGCCAGGGACTGGGAGAGTCGCCACCTTGAGGGCTTGTCTGCCACCTCAGCCGTGCCCTGCCAGCTGCTCTTAGGTCCTGGCCTGCCGTCACCATGGAGAGTATGCTTTATATTAAGAGTATGCTTTATATTCATTTCCCTCCCCCCATTGTGTACTCGGTCTTACCCTTTTTCAGTTTTTCTCTATGATAAAGCACACTTACCATAAAACTTACTATCTGTCCCTGCTCAGTGTGCATTCCCAGTGCCGTGAGTACCCTTGCACCTGTGTGACACGAAACGTGAGTTCTATAAAAGCATTCTGCCATTCCCGCCACTGGATTCGGGACCGCGTTTTCTGTCTCTCTCCACGTTGCCACATCTGCTTCATGGCTTCCAGCGGCCCTCCAGCAGGGATACTTGTTTGTGGGCATCCATGGGCACCCTTCTCAACCACTTCCGGTCACAGGGGCTACTGCCAAGTCCACCCAAGTGCTGCCCAGTGTGCCCTGCCCACTCCTTTTCCCCATGTTCTGACTTTGTCTACATATTGCAGTATGTAATGATTACCTTCCCTATCTGGAGGGAGCAGTCTTTGTACAGGACTCATCTTCCTTCCTCTTTCACCTCTTCCCCATCTCTAGATCCCTGTCCCACTCGCAGATCTGGCTCCATGCTTCCTGTTACCCCTGAATGATTCAGGTAGTGTGTGCTTGGGTTGCCTCCCTAGGGTGCTAGCACAGCCTGCTTCACGCAGTGCACCGCATTAGCGACATGCCAGGTCTGTTGCTGGGCTCTTGGTACGTGGTTGATGCCACACGGCCTAGGCTTGGAGCAGGCTGTCCTATCTCGGCTTGCAGAAGTGCACTCTGTGACAGCACAGTGACCCAGTTGCCGGTGACACATTTCTCAAGACCATTCCCTGTTATTACTCAGCACTTGATCGTACCATAATTTGGGTGACATAAAACGACGGAAATGTATTTTCTCACAATTCCAGAGGCTGGGCATGGCCAGCATTCAGGCATTGGCAGGGCCATGCTCCCTCGTGCACTCTCAGATTCGGGCAGGACCCTCCTGCCTCTTCCTGGCCCCCGGAGTCGCTGGCAGTATTCAGCCCCGGGGCTTGCATTTGTGTCACTGAGATGGACCCTGCCTTGAGGCTGTGTCCAGATTTCTCTGGTGAGGGCACTGCTCATTGCATTAGGACCCACTTTAATCTGGTATGGATTGCATCTTTTTTTTTGTTTTTTGTTGTTTTTGGTTTTTTGAAGCAGGGTCTCACTATGTAGTTGAGACTGACCTGGAACTCACTATGTAGCCCAAGCTGGTCTTGAGCTCACAGCGATCCTCCTGCCTCAGCCTCCTGAGTGTTGGGATTACAGGTGTGCGCCACCATGCCCGGCTGGTTTGCATCTTAATTTAATTGTATCTGCAGAGACCTTTTCCCCAATAAGGTCACACTGCAGGTTCTGGTTGGATGTGGATTTGGTGGGGTGGGGTCAAACCAAGTGGAGTTCACTTCAGCAAGTAGAAGTACACCAAAAAGCCCTGAAAGAATGTTTCTGTCCTGCTGGGCATGGTAGCACATGCTTGTCATGGCAGCACTCTGGAGGCTGAGGTAGGAGGATCGCCGCAAGTTCCAGGCCAGCCTGAACTATATAATGAGTTCCAGGCCAGGCTGAACCACATAGTGAGACCCAGTCTCAAAACGTGAAAAACCAAAACCAAATCAAAACAATACAAGAACGTTCCTGACCAGGTGATGAGCCAGTGCTGCCAGATACCCATGGAAGTGGGAGGCAGGTCTCCCCTGAATTCATGCTCGGTGCTCTGATCTTCCCTGAACACACATTCCTGTGTGCTCAGTTCCTGGTCATTTCCGTGGGTGGAGCTGACTCCTCCCTGAAGCCCCTCTCTGGTAGCTGGACTGCTGTCGTTTTGTCCCCTTGCCTTGCACAAACGGCCTGCAAGGGCAGTAATTGGAGGCCGCTGTGCAAGTGACAGGGGCGTGCATGGCAGTGATGGGCATAATTAAGGCCTGCCAGTCACCTTGCCCAATTAGAACACCCTGCCTCTCTTTGTGAAAGAGTAATCGCTTGTTGAAAGCTTGACATTAAAGAGAGCAGAGTAGGACCTGGTGAGATTTCCAGATTAAGACAGCAAATCTGTTCAGAACAAAGGTGGCAGCGGCACCCTGCTGTCTCTGGGCCTTTGATGGTGGCCGGATGGACACATAGGCAGAGGAAAGGGGCCGGTGGGCTCCCGCTGCCGCCATGAACATCAAGGCTTAAAGCAACACAGATGTGTTCCTTCTTATTCTGCAGGCTGGTCTGGAATTACAGTGTTACTGTGGCAGGTGCTGGGGGGTGGGGCCAGCGTCTCCATGCCGTTGGAGCTCTCTGGAGACTACCAGCAGTCCTGGGCTTGTGGCACCTTCACTCGCCACATGACTCAGCCCCCTCATCCTCCCTGCCTTAATCGAGACCCTTGGGGTTACCTTAAGCCTGCCCAGACACCCAAGATCATTGTTTCATCTCAAGGCCCTTTTCTTTGGTTTGGTTGGGTTGGTTTTCTTGAGATAGGATCCCAGGTTGGGATACTCCTGCCTCAGCCTCGCAGGTGCTAGGATTATAGGACTGTATACCATGTCTGCTGAAGGCCTTTATCTTAATCACATTCTGTGGCTACTTTTGCCATGTAAGGTAACAGTTTCACACAGGTCCTGGGAGTTGGAGAATCCTTGAGAGCGTCCATCTATCCCAGGAGTACCGGGTGCTGTGTTACCTTTGTGATGTGTGTTACATTGTTTTTGAACATGTAAATACAGCAGATTCCTAGAAAACAAAGAAAGTAGACATCATCTCTGGACAACTGCCATTGACTTCTTTTTTCTTCTGTACTAGAGATTGAGCCCAGAGCCTTTGTGCTGAGCTGCATCCCTAGCCCATTTTTAAAATTTTGAGTCAGGGTCTTGCTAAGTTGCTCAGGCTGGGTTTGAGCTTGCAGTCCTCCTTCCTCAGCCTGTCAGGTGGCAGTTATTATAGGACCGCACACCACACCCGGCCTGACTGATGGTTTGATAGGTGTTATTCTGTGCTTTTTGGAAATGCGACATGAAAAGAGTCAGCTAGGTTGACCGGGTGGTGCTAGATAGCCTTTCTGTTCTCTCCCTGACGGGTGTACATTGTATTGCTGGTTTTATCTGCTTTATTAGATAGATGGGTTCAAAGAGGCCATTTATGAGCTTGGCAGCTGTGCGCTCTAGGAAACCGTCCCTGCTGTCAAGGTCGCGGGCATCCGCATCGGCCCCCAGAATCCTCTCTGTCTTCCCCGGATTCACTGATGTTGCTGCGTGCATCGGCCCTGGGTTGTGTCCCCCTCAGGTGGATGACTTGGGTGTTTCTAAGGAGTAAGAGGGCTGGGCGACTTCACCTCACATGCATGCTGAGGGTTCAGTGAGCTGCCTGGTGGTCTGCGCCCAGGCTTCCCAGCAGACCCAGTGCGTGATGTGATCTGGGGCATGGGAGGGAGAGAAGGGTGACAGGTGTCCTTCAGGGGGCCACCCCTGTGTAGGCTCGGTTCTGACCTCGAGGATGCCGGCGTGCCCTGGGGCTGCCTGGGGATAAGAAGCCATGAGCCGTGGAAATGGATCCTTTTCCATTCCGGGAGGCTGGAGTCTGGGCCAGGTATTGGGGCACACACCTTCCTTCTGGAGCTCTGAAATGTTGGCCTTCCTTGTCCTGCAACTGTGTCACTGTAGGGCGCTTCCTTCTTGCACAGCCTTCTTCCTGTTTGTCTTCTCTCACTGCCCTGTATTAGGGCCCATCCTAGGGCCCCTTTTACCTGGACTGCCTGGGGAAAGTCCTCCCTCCAAGGGCAGTCACATCCAGAGGGGCTGGAACTCAGCACAAGTGGTGGGTGGCAACAGTCAAGCCCGGAGGGAAGCTCTAAGGGTTCCTCTGCCTCTCCTGGGCACAAGCTTCATCTGTGTCCCGGCCCCGGGGTGTGTACGGCTGTCCCCCTGCCTTGGAGCAGCTGGCTGTGGACCAAAGGCTAAGCTGTGATGTGAGCAAGACCCGGAAGGGTGTGTCTGTAGCTCCGCTCCCCGACCACCAGGACTCCTACACCCTCACAGAGCCCTGTGCGGCAGTGAGAACACACTTGCGGGAGGAAAGATTCTGGTGTGGGTGGTGGTGGCCCGCAAGCGGCCAGGAAGCAGAGAGCAACAGCAGAATGGTTCCATCTGCGCATTGCAGACCGCTTCATCCGGTCCCTCAAGCAGCCCATCAGCAGGTGACCGAGAGACCTGGCACAGCAGAGGATGGGGCAGTCCGCAGTGTGTTCTGTGCATTGACACCCAGCACTCTTGCGTCATTCATATCCAGGAAAGGAATGATAGAATGACTTAGAAAAGACCGTTCCCATTCCTCGCCCTCATCTTTACATGGTGACCGTGACTGGAAGGACGGTGGCACCCAGTGGCCCTCTCTGAAGACCAGTGGTCGGGGGAGGCAGCTCTCACATTGGCCTGCTGATTGCTTATTTCACTGTTGAGAGCGGTCTACCAGGGATATCTCTGGGATAGTTGAAAACACTGTCAGCTGGGTGCCAGGATCCTAGCCTGTCATCCTAGCTTCAGGGAAGGCTGAGGCAGGAGGGTTGTGAATTCAAGGCCAGCCCTGTACGAGGTGGATCTTGGGTCCAAGCTGTGCTACAGATGGAGTGTGAAGGCCCGAGACAGGCGGATCCATAGGGATAGAAAGTAGGTGAGTGGTTGCCAGGGCCTGAGGATAGTACTTCACGTGTACAGGGTTTCCTTCTGGGGTGATGGAAATGTTTTAGAAAGTGACCTATGTGATGGCTACAGACCACTGTAAATGTAACTAAGACCTAGTGATTTCCTTTTTTTTCAATTTTTGAGGCAGGGCCTCACTATGTATTCCAGGCTGGCGTCAGACATACAGTGATCCTCCCGCCTCAGCCTTCCAAGTGCTGGGATGACAGATGTGCGCCTCCACGCTGACCTGCAGCAACTGTGGGAGAGGAGAGGTTGCTAAGCCTGGGCCCCTGCCCCTCCATGAGGGTCTCTGCACTGAGCGTGGCAGATGCCTGTGCTCTGCCCTGGGGCGGGCTGTGTCCACAGTTGATAGGCCCTGTGGTGGCTGGGGTGTGGCTTAGGAGCCTGGTTTGGATTGGAGCGTTGCCAAAAAACCAATGATGTTTAAAAACTTAAACATTTAATAAAAAGCACATGAAATGGGCCCTGTCTAACCATTTGTGAGTGCACAGTTGTGTTTAGTATGTCCACATGGTGCACTGTTTTCATCTAGCATGACTGAAATTCTGTTTCCTTTAGGCAGCAGCCTCTCAGTCTCCTGCTGCCAGGCCCTGGTAACCCCATTCTGCCATATGCAGCATCTGTCCGCGCTGTGCCTGGCTTATTTCACTTGCACGATGTCCCCACACGTGTCCAAGTTGTCATCACTTGCGTGAGCTCAGTGGGTACTGTGCTTCCCCGCTTCCCTGCTGGTACTTTAGTTCCTGTCCTTTCCTGCCTTGTTCAGGAAGCTTCTGCTTTTTATATACATGCTAACTGCAGACAGTTACGATAGTGTGCTTTCACAGAGGCCAACTTGTGAAAAGTGCCTAAAACAAATCAGAAGCCAGGACAAGTCTTCTCACAGTTTGTGCTTCTGGGGTTGGAAATGAGGCAAAGGTGAAATGTGCAGTACAGCAAGTTGTAAAAGCTAACACTGACAGCTTAAAAGGGAGCAGAAAGCTCTCAAAGGGGGGAAAGGAAAAATAAAAGGGGCAGACCCCCAACTGGAAAGACAGTTCCACATCTGGAAGCAGTGGTCCTTGAGAGCTGTCTGACTTTCCGACTTTGGCGATGGTCAGTTAGGTGCTTGTGTCAAGAGGAATGGCTGCTTTTTCTTTGAGAGCCTGGCTGGATAGGTCAGACCAGAATATGGCTTTGTTCTCTCTGTTCCTGCTATGCTTTTGAAAATTCTACTAGGATTCTATATTTTATTTGTATTTATCTCTGTGCGTGCGCGCACGCGCGCGCGTGTGTGTGTGTGTGTGTGTGTTTTGAGGTAGGGTCTCGCCATGTAGCCCAGAGTAGCCTTGAACTCCCAGTGATCCTCCTGCCTCAGCCTCCCAAATACTGGCATGACAGGTGTACGCCACCACGCCCAGCTGTTTCTCTACTTTTCATGAGTGGTGTTTGTAGTAAATAGTGATTGCATTCATGTGGGGAGCTGGAGCATGTGTGTCCCACATCTCAATTCTTTTTATATCCCTCCCACACTTTGAAGCTCTTTGTTCTCACCCAAAATTGAGGGCCTTCTACTGTCCTTAGTAGCCCGTCTAGTAGATCCTACTTCCTGCCAAGGGCAATAATGCCAACTGACATTTGAGGGTCACCAAGTGTGAGAAAGGGTGACCCCTTGTTCTCACATCAACCCGACAGCGGGCCCTGCCACCCACCAGCAGAGCACTCTGAAGCCAGGCTGGTCGCAATTCTTGACATCCTCATGTATTGTCCTGTAACCGCATTGGACCAGTGTTGCCTTGGGCAAAGCGCTGGGTAGCTTATTTTAGAGAAGTTGCTAAGTTGCCCAGGCTGAGCTCAAACTTGGAGCCCTCCTGCCTCAGCCTCCCAGAGTGTTTTTAGTAGACTCCCTATGTCGTACAACCATCACTGCTATCTAACTCTAAAACATTTCCGATACCCTCGAAAGAAGCCCTACACCGGTTCGCAGCCTTCATTCCCCTCACACCCACTGCAGCTTTCTTTTGGTGTAGCGAGGCTGCTGGTGCACAGCTGGCTTCTGCGGGAAAGGTTGCCTGTCACTCCAGGGCATTCGCAAATCCCTCTGTGAGCCTCTGTGGTAGGTGCTGCAGGTGTGCATGGCAATATCAACGAGGCGACGCTTTCGGTGGCAGCCACATGGGCCACTTGCAGGTCAAGCAGCCTGCTGCATGGAGTGCCCTTGCTTATGGCCCAAAATGCTGACTTCTGTCCTCTCATCCTCATTTTCCCCTGCCACTCGCTGGAGCCACTTAGCCATCAGAGCAAGTGGTGAGCCATTTCGTCACGCGCCTGCAGTATCGGACGGCATTCATCACTCTGCAGGCACCAGGAGTTAAGATGGCCCAAAACTTGGGGGAAGCTGGGAACTCATGGAATGACCATTCGGGCTTCGTCTCTGCCTCCAGAGTGCTCAAGGTGGGAGAGGAGCCCGTGCGTGTTTGCCCCATGGTAGGCCAGGCCGTGTGAATTTCTCTCTCCTACCTACAGCCTTCTAGGAATTGTAGTTGTTGGGTGTGGTGGTACGTGCCTATCATGCCAGTTCTTGGGAGGCTGAGGAAGGAGAATCACCATGAGTTCAAGGCCACCCTGTACTTCATGGTGAGACTGTGTTTCCAAAGAAACCCCAAACCTCCCCCAAAAAACAAAACCCAAACAAACAAACACAAAAAACAAAACAAATCTGTAGCCCAGGGTCCCCTTGCGGGGTGGGGGGGAGGCGGGCTTTCTCAGCAGCTGCCTCAGGTGGGATCTTGGTCATACTCTGGTGGCAATCCTTACTCCATGGATCGTTTCTGGTTCCGTCAAGCTGGGCCTTCCCCCCTGCCAAGGCCCCATCCCCTGGGGCTGATGTTCATCTCACCCTTGGACCTGCACGGTCAGGAAGCTTGTGACATGGTTGTGTTTCCCAGGCGTTAGGTGTCATTCTGGTCCCTTTTGTAGTAGGCTTTTCTTTTGTTGGTTTGTGGTGTCACTGTTGACCAAATCTGTTTCTTTTTGTTGTTTTTGTACTAGGGATTGAACCCAGGCAGTGCTGAGCTACCTCCCCAGCCCTTTGTATCTTTGTATTTTATTTTGAGACAGGATCTTGATAAGTTGCCCAGACTGGGCTCCACCTTGAAAATCCTTCTGCCTCAGTTTCCCAAGTTGCTGGGACTCCAGGCCTGCAATGCCCACTGCACCTACCGATTTCCTGTTGGCTGAGTAGCTTTGTCCCCTTGGAGGGGTGTGTACATGCAGCACCGGCCCATCCGGCCCAGGTGACAGGCAGGCGAGTGGCATCACAGCTTCCAGACGGGAAATGTGGTTTACCAGCCTCAGCGTCCCCAGAATTCTCACACCCTCAGAGGGGTCAGGGTTTTCACATCTAAATGCTGAAGCACTTTAGCTGAGTACGTACTTACTTAGGATTTATCCTGGGCCCTCTTCCCAAAAGCCTGGAAGCGGATTTGACGCACAGAAGCAGAAGGGAGAGCAGGAGACAGGTGTCACTGGGGCACCTGCTCCCGGCATGGCATCCTGCTGGATGTCCTCCCAAACTGGTGACAGTGACTCTGCCCTGAGTACTAGGATGGTAGGCATGCACCATCACACCTGCCTAAACGTGTGGCTATTGAAAGCTTAAAACCTAATTAGCACAATGGAGGAGCTACATTTAATTTAATTTTTCTTAGCAAAACAAAGTTTTACTTACTAAATACATAGTAAATAAATTGTAATAAGAAATAATTGAAATTTGCAAATACAGTATATCTACATGTTTTCTACTTTGATCTTAAATTATACAGACAAATTACAGCTTCACAACCTGTTCAGATACACGTGTAGAACATCTGGTGTGTGAAGGACCTCAGCAGTTTACCCCTTAGGGTCTAAGGGTCGAAGCCATGGTCTTGGGCAGCTAAGCCAGTAAATAACTACAGGTTTCAGGGGAAATTGTGGGGATAATGAAGGTTCCAAGCATCGCTGTCTGCGCATGTGTGTGACTGGGCGCTGCAGACATGGCCGTGTGTATGTACCGCTCGTCACAGGGATCGGACGTTCACAGCCTTCATTAAAATGCACCCACAGCTTCAGACGCCAGCCCTGCTACTAGCCCCGCCGAGGTGAGGCAGGTTGCAATAGGTCAAGCTTGTGTTCCCTCCCAAAGGGATGAGAGCTGCAGGAGGACAGACCCTGGCCCCCGAAGGCGTCTGGGGATGGCAGCGCACTTCCATTATTCAGTAGGTCTTCGTGGGCCCACACACAGGGTATCCTGGGGGACATCTGCAAAGCTCAGTCCAAACAGACACCTGCATACAGGTAATGCCGGCTGGCTAAGCGGTTTTCCCACCAGAAATCCTCTGTGGCTCTCCGCAGTGGAGGGAGGTGACTTTTCCGCTGGATTCTTTGAATTCTGGCTCTCCAAGTACAGGGATTGGGGCGGTGAGCTGAGGCTGGGAAGAACCAGCCGCTTTCTGAAGTGTGTCAGTGCAAGAGGGGTTCCCGCCTATGTCCAACACTGAATTTTTTAGACGGGAGTTGCACAGAGGGCTGCAGGAGAGTAGCCTGTGGGACCCCATTTAAGATGTGCAAGTATTTATTCCTGTCTCAGACACAGGGCCTCATGTATGCTAGGCAAGCGCTATACTGCTGAACTACATTCCAGCCCAACTGTAGGCTTTGAAGAAATCTTTGTCTTTTCCTTTATTTTTTTGAGACAAAGTCTGACTATGTAGCCCAGGCTGGGTTCAAAGTTGTGATCCTCCTGCCTCAGCCTCCTGAGTGCTGGACCACCATGCCTAGTTTAAAGAAGTCTTTACTAGCTTGGAATTTAACGTGAGACTGAGTAGCTTTATCCAGAGATGGTTTGGGTCTACTGAATTCAAGGTCCTTGCGGGATTAATAAATACTACAAAATGGTTGCTCTTAAGCCTTTTACCTAAAGACATGTGGCACGAGACATCAGCAAATTCTAGGGGTGGCTGGGGCTCCCAACGCTGGAGGGCACCCACCCTCTCTGGGTGCATGTTCTAATTGCTTTTCTCTGACAGTTGCCTAGAAGTAGAATGACTGAGTTACAAAATATGCAGATTTCAAATTGGCAAGGCTTGGAATAACTGCGCACTCCTAGGATACCTCTGACTCAGGCCTCACGCTCCCAAAGGCAGGACTGGGCTGGGGCCTGGCAGCAGGGACTGGCGTTGGCGACACTCGTCCCTCTCCAGATCTTGCCCGAGCCCTTTCAGAGTCAGCTGCCTGCATCACACCGTGCCTCTTGGTGCTCTGTGCGTCCGCTGACAGCAGTCTTTCCGTGAATCCAGGGAATGCACAGGACAGCCTGATTCCCCTAAGTGCCGCTGAACCTCCTGTGTCGTTTCCTCAGTGGCCACAGCAGTTTCCTCCAGTGTTGTGTGGTCTCGCACATATTTTCCACGGAGCGTGCATATTCCTGTTAGCTTCATGTTTTCTGTTTACCATGTGTCTTCTTATTTTTCCCTTTGGAGACTATTGTTGGATTGAGTTGGGTTGTTGGTGTTTTTCTTTCCTTTCCTTTTCTTTTTTCACTGGTTTTGAGATTATATATCATACATTGTTTTTTGTTTTTTTCGGTACTGGGGATCGAACTCAGGGCCTTGCACTTGCGAGGCAGGCAATGGCACCACTGAGCTACACACCCGCCCTATCATTCATATTTTTAATGGTTACTCTTTGCGTTGTGAAGCCACCGAGAATTCCCATGTGCTCCACGCCCAGCCTCCCCATTAGTAGCATCTCATATTCACCTGGCACATTTGTCACGATTAAAGAAAAAATACTGTGACCCTGTAGGTAACCAAAGTGCACACTGTATTCACATCTCCGTGGTTTTTATGCAAAGTCTCTTTCCGTCTTAGGGTCAGCCCCGTCCATTGAGCTCCAGTCAGAGCTCCCCAGGCTCCTCGTGCTCTATGGGTTTCACAGTCTCTGTGGCTCGAAGACTTTGGCAGTTTGGAGAAGAGGAGGTATTTGTGCGCTTCCCTCGTGAGTGCTAACGAAACAACTCGCATTTTGGTAGGACCATTAAAGGGACATTCTTTGAGGGATTGTGAAATATATGTGTGCCTTATCTAGCTGGACTTGTGTAGACTTCAGTCAGTATCTTCCCTCGCCTATCCCCCCAGCCTCTGGTCCCTGCCTTTGTCCTGTCTGTGTCTCTGAGTATATGAGTGAGATCATCACCCTCTGTGCCCAGCTTATTTCACTTAGCAAAGTGTCTTTCAGCTCCATCCATGCGGTTGCAAATTACAATACTTCCTTCTTTCTAAAGGCTCCATAATATACCATTTTGTATATATATACCACATATTTTTTAAGGTACTGGGGATTGAGCCCAGGGCCTTTGCACTGAGCACTTTTTAAAATTTCTTATCTTGAGACAGAGTCTCATTAAGTTGCGCAGGCTGGGTTTGACTTAGGAGCTTCCTGCCTCAGCCTTCCAGATTGGTGGGATTATAGGCCTATACCATCAAGCCCAGTTTAGCCTACCCGCACTCCCTCTCTTCCAAAACCCAGGGCCAGACAAGTACTCTAACACTGAGCTACATCCCCAGTGCAGTGTTTTGTGTTTCTTTATTCACACATCCGTTGATGGACACCTGGGTTGCTAGCCTTCCACAGCTTGGCTTGGCTACTGTAAATCATATTGCATTAGAGATGAAGGGAAGTTGTTTTTTTGTTGGTTTGTTTTGTTTTTGGCTTTGTGATTTCAGTTCCTTTGATTATATTTCCAGAAGTGATGTTGCTGCATGCAGTGGTAATTCTATTTCTAGTTCTCTTAGTAACCTTCACACTAATGTCTGTAGTAGTTGGGCAAAGGCACAATTCAGCTGACAGCATAACACGGTTCCCTTTTCAGTGCACCCTCACCAACACTTGTTGTTGTGCACCTATTTAGAACAGCCCTTCACCAGATGCAAGATGAGAGCTCACTGTTGGTTTTAGTTTGCATTTCCCTAAAGATTAGAGATGTTGAGGATATTTGCATTTATCTCTTGACCATATTGTTTCTTTTGAGAAATGTCAATTTAACCCTTTGCTCATTTTTAAAATTGAGTCATTTGTTTTCTTGCCATCAAGCTGAGATCCCTATATATTTTTGGTGTGACTTACAAATCTCTTCTCCCAGTTCATGGGCTGTCTCTTCATTCTCTTGTATCCTTTGCTACCCAGAGTTTTTTAAAGCTAGTATATTTTCCTGTGTCTGTTGAGAGGACCATGTGGATTTGGGGCTTCTTTTTTTTTTCTTTCTTTTTATTGAGTTTATTGGTACAATCTAGGTATACAATACAATTACATTCATCATTGGGATTCTGTACCTTTACATAATAGGTATTGATTCTCATTTTTCCCTCTGTCCCTGCCCTCCCTTCACCCCCTCCTCCCCTCCCCATTTACAAACACTTTATTTCCATTTTTTCAGTTTCTCATATTTTTTTTCCTCTCCCTTATTACCTTTACCCCACCCTTCCCACTTTCCCTATACCTTTAGCCCTTTACTTCCTATTTCACATTATTAATTATCTCATTAGGATCCAGTGTACTATTATAGTTTTTCACACCAAAGAAACTATTCGGTATTTCAGTTAAAGAAATCTCTGTATGAACATTAAAAATAGGGAATCCTAAAATAAAACTAAAAAGGAAAGTAAAAGAGTAAAGGCAATGATGTAACATTAAAATAATC